TAACGGTAATCTCCTTACAATAACCTCACAAGCTGACATTTTGATAGGCAGTAAACAATCTCAATCGTCTATACTGAAAACAAGCACTAGCTTAACTACAAAACTGATCAGCCCAGTATATTTTGGTGAAGTGTCAAAGTTAGATCCACTTTATCTAAGAATCCCAGCTAACCAATTATTAAAACAACAAGCATACCACTTAAGCACCTGTTTGTCTTGAAACTCTCGAATCCATAGATATCAAGAACACCAATCAAGTACTTCGAGTCAGCATCTTGACCAATTGAGCTATTAATCTTGTCAACAAGCCTGCAAAGACCATAAGAGATTAGAGTAGAACAATTATGGTGATGCTTATTTCTGCAAATAAGGAGAAGCAGCTATTGGATATCTTCATCAGAGTAGACTCGAGAAACTCACCAGTCAAACAATCTTGAGTACATGACTTTAGCCAAAGCATCTCTACTAAGAGTAGCAGCTTCTGGATCAAGAGTTTTTGTGATGGTTTCATCACGAGTAACCATGATACGCTGACATAGAGAATCCTCAAGTGCCTTTTCATCACAGCTGTAATTAAGGAAGTCGACATGAACAAGGAAAACTACTTCGCTAAGAAAACAAAACAAAACCAAACATTTTCCGCTTTTATTAGTTGGGACCCTTTACCTGAGAAGCTCAGCTGCAGTTTTCAGGTGGAACAAGGATTTTTCATCTTTGGGAACCGATGAATCAATCTCCGTTCCTTTAGCAAATTCGACATTCCCGAGATGGAGAATGGCAGCCACGACGCTGAAAATCGCATCCTGAAACAAGACATTGGTAAAGTATAGAATGTGTTTACAGACACAGTTTAGCAGCTTTGGCTAAAATCTGACTGATGGAGTTCTGTAAAAGACTACCTGCTCCTCGGTGCTGATACCAACGACTTCCATAGCCCGTCTCGTGGCATGATACTCCTCTGCATCATTTATACTATCCAACTCTAGACATTTAGATTGGTTAAGATAGTGGTATGTCTTTGGTTCAGCCAGCTTAAATTTCTGCACATCCTGAGAGCATAAAAGATCATTTCAGAAAACAAGAGGTGCATTAGTATGCCAAACAAGGCTCAGATACTCGACATGTATCAGCAAGTACTTCGGTAAGGGAATTACAATACTTACTTCCTTTGGAGCAGCACAAAGCATGTAGAAACAGTGATAGTTTCTTTCAGGATCAGAGACCTGACAAACACGTGATCTCTCCAACAAGTAAGTTCTTATGGCAGCTCCTGATATCCTTCCCTTTTCGTCAAACTGGATCTCCACGAACTTACCAAAACGACTATAAAATACACAAATAAACGAGTTAACAAACAACCAAAAGTGGTGAGATTCAAAAGCTTTGAAAAGAAATCTCAATAATATTGATGAAAGAATGCGTTAGAGATATGAGGAAACTTTGTTACCTAGAATTATTGTTCCTGACAGTCTTTGCATTTCCGAATGCTTCTAAAACAGGATTCGACTGAACAAAACACACAATAATGGGCTTGTAAGGAACAGATCAAAGCAAAAAGAGGGAAGATCAACATCATTTGCATATGGAGCTGAGCATATAGCTGCTGGTTATTTATTTACTCTTCAGTTGCTCATGAAAAGCAAAGAAGGCCAAAAATCATGAACATATGTTCATCCTCTGAAGTTTTAGTTATTTGTTCACTCTTCTAAGAACATGATTTGACTGAATGAAAATATGTATGATGCGTTTATTCACCTCCAAGACTTTCTGTTCAACACTCCTTCCCTCAGCAGCAGCTCTCCCTCCCATGTAAGCAAGATATCTCATAAGCAACTTTGTGCTTTCAGTTTTACCAGCGCCACTTTCTCCACTAACCAGAATAGACTGACTCACTCCGTCATTAATCATTTGTCTACATTAGAAAGACACACAAAAAACCAGACAAAACTACATATTAGGATCACCACCAACAACAACAAAAAATATACAAAAGCAAAATGTTTTTACCAGTGTGTATGAATTTACCTATAAGCAGCATCTGCGACGGCGAACGGATGTGGACTAAGCTCCCCTAAGGCAGCTCCTTTATACTGAGCCATCATATGGCTACTATAGAGATGCGGAAGTCTTCTAAACGGATTAACAGCAATCAGTATGCTTCCTGTATAAGTCTGGAAGTAAATAAAAGTTTAGTCCACACATATCTAGAGCACATATATATACATATCCGAAATCAATATGAACAACTCACATAAATCTCATTTATGTCATATCTTGAATGCAAGTTCTGTAGCACCCCAGGTTCATGCAAATAAGCAAGCCTTGTCATATCGTCCACTCCAGATCCTGGCGCTTCCGTATCTTTCGGATAAACACTAGAGGCTTTTGTAACAACCTGAAATTTTTTCCCCAAAACAAATACATAATAAATAAAAACTGATTTCACAAAAGATTTATATATTTAGCTTCTAATTTATGCATTACATGTTTCCCTGAAGTGCATAGGACTTTGATATCTTCGCCATTAACCTCTACAACTTCACCATCAATCCATGCTTCGTCACGGTCCTCCACCCACACACTCGACCCAACTGAAGGATTGAAGTTAGCAACCTGTGGAAACCAAATGATGTTAAAGGCTTAGTTAAGTTCCTCTCAGCTGGAGAAAGGAACTAAATATTGCTTCTTGAGCTCTCACAAGCTCCTTTATAGTGATCACAGCTACTTAAACACCTACATTTTGATTGCCTTTGATTCCAGAATACATACCAATCACATGAATCGGTTTATCAAAACCGGAACTGGAACAAAATCAAAGTATTGTGGTGATGAACAATATTAGCTAAGCTTATGAAGATTTGGACTAAGAATCAAACTCAAAACAGACAAGTCGTAACTGAAGTCAAAATCTCTAATAATCAAACAAGACAATACAGAAAGAGGACTCTAAGTCAGCTCAAAGTCATGATCTGAAGCTAACAACTCTTAAAAACGCAAAACTAACCCAAAAACACAAACTAAACCCGTATTAGTCTCAAGTCAATCTAGCAAAACCCCTAATTACTTTTTTCCCCCAAATTAATCGGGATTTGATCAAAATGAACCAATGAAAATCTTACCATTTCGTTTCGTAGATCAGAGGCTTCAGATACAGAATCTGGATCTAGATTGAATCAAACGAGCAGTGAACTTCTGAAATCTACAATCCTCCGAGCGAAGAACTTGAAGAAACTGAGATTTGCTGGAGAAGACGAACCAGAAAAAAATATTAAAAATTGAAGAATGAAATGCAAATCTAAACGCGTTTCTGGAAAAAATTTCCCCCCGAATATTTTTTGAGTATTATTTTTTGTTTCTCTTTTAGTTTTTCCTTTTCTTTACTTTTTTCTTTTTTTGTTGCCTTTTCGTGCTTCCCTCCTCTCTTCCACCTTCCCTGGGATTTGGTCTTTCAATTACTTAACGTTAATAACAGCATAAAATAAACTTTCAATTATAACAACGAAGTTATAAAACGTTAATTAAGACATCTTATCCCAAAAGTACCCTTTGATTTCGCTTCTTCAACTAGGTTTTAGCCTTTCGGACACGCAAATCCAATTTTGTCCGTTTGCAAAATCTTTTTTTTTTTTACTAAAATCTGATTTCTCGGTCAATGAAAAGTCCATTTTTTAAGTCTTTTTGATCCATTTCTTAAGTCATGTAAATGTAAATAATTAAGATCTTAACATAAGTAATACACCGACTTCAGCAAAATGACTTCTTTTGGTTATTCATGTAAATGCCAAACCGTTGACTAAACCACAAGTTAAATTTCGCAAAGACAAAATAGGGGTTAATTTAATTGAAAGACTACACTAAACACATATAATCCTTTTTTGTCTCCTTTTTATATGGCTTAGTTTTTAACTGTGTTAAAAAATGTCGGCGATTTCTCTGATTAATTGCCCAAAAAAACGGATTAGGATGGAAATGTGGCAATTTTTTATAATTCGACTAATAAGAAAAATCACTTGAAAATTTAAAAATGTAATGGTCAAATGTTTGGTTTCTGAATTTTCTTTGGCCCAATTACAAATTATTTCAAAAAAATGGGGCTAACTAAGAAATGCCTATTTTATTTAGTTTTGTTTTAACTAAAACAAGACTATAAGTGATAACAATTACATGAGAAAAAAAAACCGATTTAAAGATTCATAAACTTAAACAAGAAATTTTGTTACTAATTGTAAGAATTTTGTCTTTTAAAACTTGAAAATGTTTAACTAATCATGAAATATATAATTTTCATATGAGTTATTTTTAATATAAAAATTTTTACTAAATTAAAAATGTAATAAAAATTTCATTTCCGACTAATCTTTGTTTTATTTCCTATTTTTAGAAATCGAAAATTCTGAAGTTACCGCCCGACTAACGCTTAACGATTTTTTGAACGTTGGTTTTTAGAAACAGATATTCTCCTTTTTTTTCCTAGCGAAAAAACAAGTATAGTTATTAATGCCTAAGTTTTTGTAATTATTATGAGAGTTTTATAATTTCTCTTGGGTCAAGTTTACTAGATTACTTGTTAGCAACAAAAAAAAGTTTGTTAGAGTATGGAAGTTTTGTTTGTAATAAATATGCGGTGATAAAAGTGTGTACTTTAGCAATAATCTATAAAAAAAAAATAGCATATTATCATCCATTCAAATAATACGTTCTTTGTAAAAATGCGCATCAAATTTTTAAAACCATGCTATAAGATGACTTGTTTATGTATTTGCCATATGTCTTTTTCCTCGAATGAGTACTAACACTTGGTCGGTTGATTAAAGCAAATACTTTTCTCTTTCTTATTACCTGTTCACATGATACACACGTAAAGTACAACGATGTCATCACAAACGGGAAACTGACTTGGAGTTTCTATGAACAATTATTTTATTTCACTTTCACACGATAATACAGACGACCTTAAGTGTGAAGACTTGAGAGATGTCAAGGTCAGAGAAAACCAGAGTCTATGCCCCAAAGAAAGCTGCAAGGTTTGGATCATTACGGAACGGAAGAGTGGTTCGAGCACCTAAACCTCTGCAGCAGCAAGCCGCCTACAAATCGCAAACGCACTTCACAATTTATATCACAACGCGTGACGTTAGCGGTTTGAAAATCGTAAACAAAAAAAGAAAGTAACTTACGACTCTAGATGCAAATATCAACATTTCATCCGAAGCCATTTCCGTGCACAAACCTGTGAGAAAGTTTGAAAAAGTATGAAACGTCAGACCAAATGAATAGCCGTCTTAGCTCAGTGGTAGAGCGCGTGACTTTTAATCCCGTGGCCGTGGGTTCGATCCCCACAGACGGCGATGTATATACATATTATTTTGAATTTTTTACAAGAAAAACAAGATTGAAGATTGGACTCGGTTAGCTTTGGTTTAAATGAATTTGGCTTAGCAAGCCAATTGGTTAACACATTTATTGTTTAGTGAAGCGTCTTATATTACCATAGAGTACAGCTCCGGTAAACGCATCTCCGGCACCGGTTGTATCCAAAAGCTCAGATGAAGGTATTTTCTCAGCTGTTACTATAACCAATCTCCCTGTAACATCCCCTGCCAGTCTAGTCACCAGCTGAAAAATTGGTAAAAGAAACATAAAGAAAGACATTTTCATAAAACCAGTGTCGAATTTGTAGACTGAAAACGTTATTTACCGATGAATTGCAGACCGGTAAGTCACTAGTAAAGTCTGTGCTTTGTTTGAGAGACTCGTATAATTCATCTATATCCGTCTCTTCTTCTGATTCTGAAACCTCTGTATATTACGGAAAGAATGGCAAAAATGTTCATATAAACGAGAAGTTGTATAATTTTGAAAATAAAGGAAATTGACAAGAACTCTCACCATTGGGACATCTCTCGAGCATCATACAACCGTGTTCTCCCAAAGTCATGATTACAAATATTAGCTTTGGTAATCTAATGAGCATAGAGAGAAGTGCACTAGGGGATGATGGTGACTCTGTCCATTCCTGTTTTTTTTTTTTTTTCCAATCAATCAAAGTTTATCTTGAAGGATTATATACACCAAATGTTGATGAAACTGATGCAAGAACATATATAACTAGCTAACACATTTCCGGAGTTTCATTAAATATTTTTTCCAGGTATCAAATAAAGTAGACGAGCCTTATATAGTTCAACGAAAGTACAGAAATGAAATGATGCAATATGATCCGTGTTTTATAGAAACATTTTGGAGAACACTCTCACCTGAGGGAAGTTAGTAGAGCAAATGGCATAATCAGCTAAGTCAAGGAGCTCGTTAAGCCCTTCCCTTTTTTTCTCTGCATTAATCAAGATTGATATATTCTTGCTATGTGCCTGCACAAAGAACAACAAATCTCTTAGTTACTACAACTTCTAGTAAACAATATATGAGTGAAAAAGTGCTAAGTAACATACATAGACAGAACTAAGTAAACCATGGGAGTGTGGGAGCATATATCACCTTTTGGGCAAGAAGCAATTCGGCTTCACGAGACCTTCCATTAACATATAGAGCTCTTACTCCATCAAGCACAGATGAAAGGAGAGTTTCAGTAAGGTCATCTGGGAGCAAAGGAGGATATCCTGGAGTGAATATACACGTACGAGTATTCCTATAATTTTTGTGTATAAGAACAGCAAAATAAACGTCTTTTTTTTCTAGAATGATCAAAATATTTGGAAACATCAAAATGATAGAGACTCCAACATAAATAAAAATAAAAACTACTCACGTTTGGTTATCTACAATGACGTAGTTAAAATGTGAAGCTCCATCTTTAGCGGTCTGAGATGGACATAAAAACAAAACATGTGTTGTTATATACAATGATTGAGATACTATCCTTTTTTTTGAACATCGATTGAGATACTATCATACATTATAATTTAAAAAAAAAAGAACAACTACTTTTTAATGATCTTACCACACAAAAGGAAGTATCCACGCCACTAGATTGTAGCTCCTCAACCATCCATCTCCCTTGAGAATCATCAGCGACCTTTGTGAAGATAGAATATATGTAAATCTACTTGTTCTTTTTCTTGTGATGATATTTAAAACAATTGAAAAACGAATAGATTCAAGAACACAAAATCCCCAAAACCCAAATATTAACGCAAAATTGTACTACCTTAGCTAAGATTCTAGAAGGCAAACCCAAACGAGCAACGCATGTTAAAGCATTCCCAGTATTTCCACCTCCTTGAACCTGAAAAAAATAAAAATGGCCATAGAAAATGTAAATTTCTGACATTGAAAAAGTAACGAATCAAATAAAGTCAACGAAGCGATAATAAACAACAAGAGACATAATATAGTATCTTCGTCGACCTTAAAACTTGTGCCTCGGATCTTTTGGTCGGGAATTGGGAAAGACGGCACTGTGACTAAGTAATCCAAACAGAGTTGACCACATCCAAGCTGCCATTGCAGCGAATCTTAATCAGTAGTATTATTCAATTCACAAGAAGTATGATAAGAAAAGAGAGACACAGATACGCACGACGGTCTGGTGACTCGGAATTGCTTCGTCCAAGGAAGATGACATTTCGGAGCTCCGTATACGCAAAGATCAATATTCTTCTCCGGAGAGATTGAATGTTTCTATTTATAGGAGGCCAAGACTTTAAATGTTTAATTTGAACCGGATTTAGTCAAACCGGGAGTTGTTGAAAGCCAATACTTTTTTTGGTATATTGGTTTCATGGAAGGTTACTTAAATGGAATAATAGGATAGAAAAGACTATATAACCAGAAAAGACCAAACATCAACATTAATATTATATATCAAGTGTAAAAAGTGTAGAAAATAAACCCACAGGGATTCGATTAATATATGAGAACCTTATTTTCTCTGTCATTAGTTGAGAATAGGGATAAAAGACTCCATATTATACTCCATATAATAAGACCAGTGACCCATAAGATTCTATACATTACAAGACGAAAGACCCATGACAATTTTCTATTTCAAATAGTTTAGATGCTTTTTCGTTTACAGTTGTTTATTGAAACTTCCATTGTCTTTCTCCTATGTTTGTGTGTGAGACAGTGAGAGTTTTAGGTAACAAGTTAACAACCACCTTTCTAAAACCAGAGTTTCCTATTAAGAGCTAAGAAAATACTGTCAAAATGAATAAAATGTCAAACGACTTTTTGTTTTTCATTTATTTTGATTTTTATCAATAGTATACTGTAAACGTCAGTTTAGCCCATATTCCCTCCGTTTCATAATAAATGTCATTTGGAGAAAATGTATCTAGACAATAATTAGATGTATCTGGACAATAATAAGTGTTATTTTGAGTTTAATACATCCAAATACATTGAATTATCTTTTTGCTTAAATGACACTTGTTATAAAACTGAGGGAGTATAAAATTAATACAAATTAAACGAGGTTCTTCTTCATTTGAAGAACATACAAAGCATTCTTTAAGGGGCGAAAACAAGCTTATAAGTGTAATGCGAGTAATTTATAGTTCAAAACCATATAGTCATTTTCCAGTCAAGGAGAGTGAAAAGTGAAATTGCTTAGTTCTGATGTAATTAATATATTGTAACACACCAAAAAGATTATAAATGTAGTGCGAGTAATTTGAAGTTCAAAACCATTACTAATGAGTAATGACACCATCATCATTTCCAGTATAAGGAGAGTGAAAAGCGAAATTGCTTAATTCTGATGTAATACAACGAAACACACCAAAAATATATAAAAAATGAAACCAAAGAAATAGGGAAAATCTCATTTTTAATTGTAAAAGTAAAAATGATTAGCACTTTAAAGCTCTAGAGAATTTCACTCTTACTCTTCATAGGTCATCAAACCAACGAAACTTGCACTCCATACAAAAGAAGTTAAAAGAGAGAGGTAGTTCCTCAATAAAACTGCGAGAGTTAAATAAAATGTCATACAAAATAAATGTTTGAAAATACTTCCTTGTAAACAAATATTGTTTTTTTGATAAACAAATATTCCTTGTTTTCCTTTGATGTTTCTTATGCTTATAGCGTAGGAAAATGATACAGATAATTGTGTGCACCGCATATTGAAAGAGAACCTTGTGTCTGCCAAACATTCTCAAAGTTAAGACCTTTTCATCGACATTCTCGTAGAATTTTCTTCTAAGCACTCAGTCTCAATATATATAGGTTTATATGTTACAACGATTTATACGCAAGAGAAATAATAGAAAAAATAACAAGTTTTTTATATTATAAATACTTTTTGCAATAGCAACCATTTTAGAAGACTTTCAATGGATCACACATTTTTATAGTGTTCGGGTTTACATTTTGTCAACAATGTATTTTTATGAACTTGTCATGGGTATTCGATGAAGGCTGTTCATTACAAAACGTGACTGAACATGAGTAAAAGTTCCACTTGAGTCTTGAGACAATCGGTCGAAAACCGTAGGATATCCAAAACGTTGGACCAACACTGTTCTCGTTTTAATTAAGAAGACATTGGGTCGAAAAACCGACCAGCTGATCATATGTTTTTGTCAATTGAAGATAAAAAGCAATCTATGAAATACATTACTTTCCTTAATAATAAAATATTTTAAAAGAAATCAGAGAGTTTTACAAAAGATTTTGGAGATTTTATTTGTTGCAATTTTGTTAAAATAAAGATCAAAATAATAAAAATATACTATTGTATGACTTAACTATATCGCCTTAACGATAGGGATTAGGCTAGGGGCTTAATAAACACTTTGGTTTTCGACCTCTCTTCGCCCAAAAGATCAATAACAGAGTCGCCGAAAAAAACTGAAATCCAGAACGAAAAAAGGAATCCGTTTGGATTCTTCTACTTCTTCTTCTTCTCACTTGAGCTTCTTTTGGTATTTCTCATCTTCTACTTCTACCAAATCCCGAAAAAATTGAATCTCTCAGCCATTTCTCTTCTCGCACCTTTGTTTTCCTGCTTGGAGGTGTAGACGAACACCGTTTTCGATTCCAATTTTTTCATTCGTTGATAACCCTTTTTCGTGACTGGTTTTTTTCGATGTTTTAGCTACTGGCTAGTCATTTCCGTTGCAATTTCTTCGTGTCTTCTATCTCTCCTGTCAGAGTATTGATTCAGAAATTCGAATTCACATAAAGGAAACTTGGAAATCAAATCTGAAATCCTTGGCAGCTTTTAATTTTGGGATTGAATACTGCTTTGTTTTGTTTTTTTCGTTTTGGGTGAGTGAGATTTGCTTCGGAGTTTTGGGAAATTATTAATTGAACTTTCTGGGTTTTAATTTCTGATTCGGTGAAGTTTTGAAGAATTTTGTAATTCGTGGTGAAGAAAGTCAAATTCCAGCGGGAAAAATTTATACTTTCCCATTTGACATTTCAACTACTGAATGTGGAAGAAAGCTGACATTACCTTCTGCTTGAGAATCTTAGAAAGTCATCATCATCATCATCAAGACGTAAGAGAGAATTTGCTTTTAGCTTTAGAGTGGTCCATATGGAGAACAATTTTGAGGTTTTAGGTACTAAAGGTTTGCTGAAGAAACATGAATTTGTTAGGATTCTGGTCCAATGCTTATACTCCTTAGGTTACAAGAAATCTGCATCTTGTCTAGAATTGGAATCAAGCATCTCGTATAAATCCTCAGACTTTGATTTTCTTGAAATTCAAGTTCTGAGTGGCAATTGGGATAGTTGCCTTGCGATTCTCGATAGGATTTTTAATAATCCGAATGATGAGACGAGGAACACTGCTTTGTATCTTGTCTTCAAGCAGTACATGTTTGAGTATTTGAAACGAGGGGATACTAGTTTAGCCTTAAATGTGCTGCAGAAGCAAGCTCCGATGTTACGGGTGGGGAAAGAGAAGATTCACAGGCTTGCTTGTGATATTGTTACTTCGAAAGAGATGGAGTCTGGTGAAGTAGACAGCTTTTTGGTTCAGGATTTGAGGAAAAGTTTGTTGGTTGAGCTGGAGAAGTTGATTCCTTCGCCAGTTGTTATACCTGACAAAAGGTTGGAACATTTGGTTGAGGCTGCTGTGATGGATCAGATTGATACGTGCCTGTATCATAACTCATGGGATGCTGTGTCACTCTACAAGGATCACCGTTGCGGTAGAGATCAAATTCCTTCAGAATCAGTCCAGGTTTGTTCTTTAGTAACCACTACGTTGTTTTCATTTTGATATTGAGACTTACTATATGGAACAACATTGTCTATGGCATATTTGGTGGTAATATACGCTAGAGAGTCATGTCTTCTGGACTTTTGCAACTGGTTCTTATAGTTTCTCAAACTCTTATTGTTGTGTTGCAGGTTTTGATGGCTCACAAAAATGAAGTGTGGTTTGTGCAGTTCTCTAATAGTGGCAAATATTTGGCCACTGCATCAAGCGATTGTACAGCTATTATATGGAAGGTAAGGATCGTATACCAGTGGTTTCTCTTATTTTTGCATAATGTCACTGAGAAAGAGACCAAATGAATTAGCTCTGATGGGTAAGAGACCCTTACTAGGTTTCTTCTTGTGTATATCTCTTCACGCAGTGAGGTGGGAAAATATAAAAGGATATAACATTTGGATGTCTTGGCTTGAAGCTTGTTATATATAAGGTAGAAAGTAAATTTATGACAGCAAATAAGGACATTTAGAAGTTAGAACCATGTAACTAGGTCTTACTACTTCAGGGTTGATAAATATTTTGCGTATGTCTTTAGGTTTTCTGTGATATTGTAGACTGTGTCTTTGAGGACTAAAGATGGTTATTTCTGGTTTTGTGACATTTGGTATTTCAACTTATTTTTTTGTTTTGTTTTAGGTTTTGGATGACAACAGAATCGAGCTGATGCACACGCTTCAGAGCCACCAAAACCCGGTTTCATTCGTTTCGTGGAGCCCAGACGATACTAAGCTGCTTACATGCGGAAACGCTGAGGTTCTTAAGCTATGGGATGTTGACACAGGTGTGTTGAGACACACGTTTGGAAACAGCGATAGCGGATTCACGGTCAGCTCTTGCGCATGGTTCCCTGACTCAACTCGGCTTGTCTGTGGCAGTTCTGACCCGGAGAGAGGGATTGTAATGTTGGATACTGATGGGAACGAGCTCAAAGCCTGGAGAGGAACGAGAATCCCAAAGGTTAGTAGTAGCATATGTCAAAAGAAGATTTTCTTATAGGTTCCTTGTTTTAGTATTCAAACTCAAAATGTGATTTGCCAATAGGTAGTGGATTTGGCTGTGACGCCAGATGGGGAGAGTATGGTCACAGTGTTTTCGGATAAAGAGATCAGGATCTTGAATTTGGAGACGAAACTGGAACGTGTGATCTCTGAGGAACAGCCGATTACTTCCCTTTCGGTTTCCGGTGATGGTAAGTTCTTTATAGTGAACTTGAGCAGCCAAGAGATTCATCTTTGGGATCTCGCTGGAGAGTGGAAACAACCTTTGAAGTTCTCGGGTCACAAGCAGAGCAAATACGTGATACGGTCATGTTTTGGTGGGTTAGATAGTTCTTTCATCGCCAGTGGAAGCGAGGATTCACAGGTAAAAAGGCAAATATCTACGAGACCGACGCAGCTTCTTTTTGTTTTTGTTTTCACTGAGATTTGATATGTTTTTGGTCACAGGTTTATATATGGAATCTGAAGAACGCTAAGCCGCTTGAAGTGTTGTCAGGTCACTCAATGACTGTGAATTGTGTGAGCTGGAACCCGAGAAATCCTCGGATGCTGGCCTCTGCGAGTGATGACCAGACCATTCGTATTTGGGGACCGGGTCAACCGAATAAGCCGGAGAACCGGTTAGATAACCAGAGACTGCTTTTTTTTTGAAGCGGGGACTTATAGTTCAACGCATTTGTGTATAGTTGTTTCTTTTATTCGATTTGCAGAACAGTTTTCTTGCATAATTTGAGTTTTGGTACGCTGTGGTTTTGCAGAACCGGATTTGAGATATGACCAGTGTCAGTCCATAAAACTATCATACATTACATATGAGTAATGACCAATCTTATAACTTAAGTTTATCAGTAAGGGCCGTATGATCAATCTTAAAAATTAGGTTTAGATATTATAGAAAACTGTGGAAATAATTTCGAAATTAAGAAAATAATTAGGGGTATTATGAAAAGATAAAAGTAGTTTTAGATAAAATCTGGAAAAGATTAGCCACTGGGATTGCATTGAAACAATAAAGACTTGCTTCAATTAGAAAAAAAGCAAAAGAGAAATCCTTTTAACAAACATCTAACAGAGAGATACGGTCCTGAAAACAAACAACTGAATTGTTGTTCCCCTTTAGGTTTCGTCCGACGCGCTCATCAAGAAAGTCCCCTAAACCGAAAAAAAAAAACAACCAAATCCATATCTCGCGGGACAGAGCCGCCGGAGACAGAAGCAAGGGGACGATTAGATTAGATCGGATGATTAGATCGCTTGATTAGGGTTTACTCCTCTTGTTCTTGGCCGCATCTACGGATTCGCCGGCGTTCTTTTTTTTTTTGAGTAAATTTTATATGAATTTTGGCTTTCAAGATGACTCAACCTGTCTGCTCTTCGCAAGATCAATCTTCTCCTCGTTCTTTGATCCCGCCGCGCAAATCCGTGGCGAATTTCCACCGCCGCAGGTTACAGATGCTCTTTCTTGCTTCTGTCTTTTTTTTTTTTTATTGCGTTTAGATCACTGGAAATTATGGGTGCTTATTTGCAAGAAACACTGATTCTTTTTATGTTCTTGAAAACCGATCTGGAAATCTTGTGATGCTATATAGTAAGTTTTTTACTGGCAGCTCAAAAAAGATAATGTCATTTGAGTAGTTTTGGTAGGAACTGGATCTTGAACTAGAGTTAGATTCCTCAAAATCTTGATTTGGAAATTTTGTTGTTTAGGGGGAGGAGCGTATTTAATTTGCTGGTCCAGAGAGAAATGTCACCGAAAGCAAAGTTCGTGCCAAGGAAACGGTGGGGTAAAAGTAGATGGTATACTGATCCCTCATGCAAATCCGACATCGAACCTATGAAAGACGCTGGACAGAGTCTTGTTTCATGGTACCCTTTTGTTCCTTGATGTGTCTTGTACCTTGTCTGTTTGAGATTAACAAGTTGTAATTGATGTTTTTCTTTGATGAACGTTGAAGGGTTGAGGCAGAGTCATTGAATTATTTATCTTCTAAGTATTGCGCTCTTGGACCTCCTCCAAGGTCAACTATTGCAGCGGCTTTTAGTTCTGATGGAAAAACTATTGCTTCTACACAGTGAGTATCATCATAGGGCTTATCTTTTTTCATTCTTTGCATTTTTTTCCTTCTTTGAAGTTCACCATGTTTC